CCCGTTGCTCTCCTCCAATTCCACGGCTCCGGCCTCTCTGCCCGCTAGTGACACCTGTGGACAAAAAGTGACACGGCGCTTAATATTTCATGGGCCGTGCACAGTGGGGCGCGTAATCCAAAGTGAATTCCCTCAGAGCGCTTGCATTTACATGAAATCAAGTCACTCTGCATCAGTCACATCACCTGCACTGCCCCCCCCCCCCACCCCACCCCACACACACACACACACCTCCAGCAGCCAATGAGTATAAAGAGCAGGAGGGAGAGAGAGGAAAAAAAAAAAAAAAAAGAGAGGCTGCATCATTCATGAGGGTTAAGGCTAACACCATCGGAAACAAGCGAGTGTGTAAGCAAAAGAGAAGTTTCTCCACTTTCCTTCCTTCCGTCCTTCCTTCTTTCCGCACTGTGATAACTAAATGGATGCCGTCTGATATCGTTTGTGTGGCTTTGAGACTGTGCGGTTAAAGAATTTAAGTCACAGCATGTGTCTGTCTGTGTGTGTGTGTGTTTGTGTGTGTGTGCGCGCATGTTTAAACTCATGTCTAGTCCTCTTCGTCATGCTGCCAAGACACAGGCACTGAGGCATCTCACCATTCAAACTGAGCATCTGTCTCGACCGCACAGAGAAGTCAATCTGCAGCATCGCCGCACCAGTCTACCCGGCTTCTCCTCCCTGCCAGCTCAAATGCTGTCAATTAGCTGACAGGGGAAAAATACATCATTTATTAATCGCTCTAAAAAACCCCAAAGAGAGAGCCAGAGCTCAGCATAAATAAAGCACTTAAAAGCCAAGCTGCTGCTGAACGCATTTGACAGGCCACATTCGCTAATGACTTCTGAGTTCTGACAAGTCTCCAAATGCCGGCTATCGGTCACTGAGACGATTTCCACCGCGAGCTCATCGCTAACAAAATCAAGAGAAAGAAAATGACAAACTTCAGCCGAGCCAGAAATTGGGAACAGACATATTCCACCAAAGCTGCACCTGCTGAGTCATTTAACTAGTATTTAGTGGTAGATGGAGAAAAAAAGACACCAGCACCAGTTTTCCACTGGAAGTCAATCAAAGTAAAGAGCTCTGTGTGTCTAAGTGAATGCAGATTAAACACATTAAAACTCTATAATTTTTCAATCATGTTCTGACAGTAACTGAATTTTTTCTAAAGATGCTCTTCCATATATTCTGGCAACAACCTGATAATTATATGTGCATCTTTATTATAAAGATTGTCACATTGGTGCCCTTGGGTTGCTTCATGAGATACAGTATGTAACATAAATCCTTGTGTGTCTTTTCTTATATCAGCTATTTGTTTACAGAAACATAACACATTGTTATACTGATTGTTATGTTATTGTTATGCTACTGTTCCCAAGTCTTACATAAATATCTTGACATGGGGTTGTCTTGGGTTTCTATAGGGGCCGGCCACATGTTGGGAAGTATAGGTTGAACACAGACCTTTAGTGGAAAGGGAGTACAGGAGTGAGGGACAGAGGGCGATTTGGACTAAGAAACAAGTTTGGTTTGAGAAAAGATTTCAGGAAAGCCATTGGTGCAAAATGACCTCTGACCCCTCAGCCTAAGGCCTGTGCCTGCGCCCATGTATGAGTAGGGGAGACGCTTCAGGCTACTGAGCTCCCCAGTCGCCCTAACAAGGAATCTAAGGTGCCCCCGCCACGGGGCAGAGATCACCAGATCAAACATCCATACACGCTGTGCACCACTTTCTTCTTTCAGCGCCTTCTGCACAGTTGATGCAGTGTCGGCTTTTGGGTGTGTGGCATTAGTTTGTGTGCTGGAAATGCTGCAACACCTGGTTTACCATTTAAAATTCCTTAGATGACAGAGGCAGCACATCATGGGTAATTATTTTCTTCTCAGTACATAATCTGTATCATCCATCAAGGTTACTTCCAACAATTAGGGCTTTATTTAATTAAAGAAAAAAAAAAAGCACGACGATGACTTGCTGTAGACATGCAACCAGGGGGCAAAAAGTGGCAAGTGTTTGGAGATCAGGAAAAGGAATATAAAATATGACATTCACGTCTGAGCGTACTTTCTGAAAGTCAGAGTTTCTTTTTGGTCTGGAGCACATCTGTCGAGAGTGGCTGACGTTTGGACCTCTTCTAAACTTTGCGATCTATTCATAGAGCTCTCCAGAGAGTATGTGTGTGTATCTGTGAGTAAGTGTGTATGTACGTGTTCGTTTCATCTCCTCCCGCTCTAACTCTCTCACGCAGGGATCAGACCTCTTTGCCCTTGACTGCCCCAGCCCAGTGAAACCTGTCCCAGCTGGACCACTCTGTGAAGCATTAATATTTGAGGAGGAAACTCTCCTTTAAAAGCTCTTTCTGGTAAAGAGGAAGTCATAATCCCCTCTGTATAACAAAAATAACACACACACTCATAAACTGCTAATAACATGCTGACCAAAAACAAAATAAACAAAATAACCCTCTCCATGTCAGATTGGATGCACAAACAGCTTGTATGCATGTTCCTTTCCTTGCAGCACCTATTAGGCTCTTACATACACATGGGATTGTTCACATGAAGTTGGAGTGGCTTTAGGATAAAACTACGAGCTTGTCACGACAGCTCACCAAGTTCAAGTTCAGGTTCTCGTGGTCTCTCTCAAGCTACTGCCATCCAAGTGAGAATGTATTTCTAGGCTGTATAGCAAAGGATAGAAATATATAAAGTCTTTTATCCACAAACTAAATAGTAAAAACTGTTTCTCTATGCAAACAGGAGACTTGATGTTAGAAAATTTTGGGGGAAATAAGAGGGAATTTTATACAAAACAGGTGACATGTAATCACCATCTTTCAGGAGTCAATGAAAAAGAAAAGCATATTAAAGACTGATATCATCGGCCCGTAACATGCTGTGATGTGTGCGTGTGTGTGCGTGTGTGTGTGTGTGTGCGTGTGTGTGCGTGTGTGTGTACCAGCTGTGTTGTCCTTCATATTCGGACTGAGGAGGGGCCAGAAGTAGTGCTGCCTTATGGGTAAGCCTTGCTCCTTCAGTATCTTCATCAGCTGTAAAGACATACCTGTAATACAAATATTATTCACATGTAAGACATTTCCAGTTTTCCATCACTGCAGTGATCTGATTCCTCACTTGGAAGTCGCTTTGGATAAAAGCCTCTGCCTAATAAGTAAATGTAAATGTGATATAATTTTTCAGCATGTGTCAAGAGGTTAATGCCTTAATGTTGCATTCACAATGTATTAAATGTGCACAGATGAGGCTGTGTGTATAGAAATAGTGAAGAGTGCAAGCATGTGCTGTACCAGTCTTCCTGGCCTCCAGAGCACATTGCAAGGAGAAGACGAGTGGTGAAGTGTGTAGATTTGAGTCCTGGAGCTCTTTACAGTAGTGCCCGATCTTCTCCACTGCCTGTTGTTCACACACACACACACACAAAAATCAAAAATTACATTTAAACATCAAATTAATACTCAACAATCACTGCAACCAAGTCTTGAACTGATTGCTAAAAGCCAAATGCAACTCTTTAAAACACTTCAGGAAACATTTGTGTCTGTGTTTGTGTAGTAAAACGAGGTTAGTGAGATTTTTTTAAAAATGTTTTTCCATGTACCATATCCATATTGACACAGTGTCTGAGGAAGAAGTTGCCCAGGTTGGGGGAGTCTGTGTTCACAGTATCAGGTTGCAGTGTGGGGAAATTCTTCAGGATGGTAAAAGCCGTGTCCTCCTGTCCCTGGGTGATGAGGCTCAGACACAAGTTCATGGCATCTACGAGAACAACAAATGCAGATTGCTCTCAGCCTCATAACACTGTCAATACGATTAGAAATACAGCTCATTAGTTGGCACTTTAATGAGGCATCTGGTTCTTTAGCCTCTTAAGTTTATGAACAATTTAATGTTAGCGAACGCTACCTGACCAGTAGCAAGCATTATGCAGCTTACAGCACAAAAGCAGTGCTTCTACAATGTGTTCATTATGCAATGGCTAATAAATTAATTACAAAAACATTTGAGTATAACAAAAAAACATTCTCCCCATGTGACAGTCAAAATTACAAGGCTATAGCTAAAGCTATAAAACTAGAATTTCCACCACTACTTCCACATTTTACAAAATAATTATTGCGACCTTTTAGTGTTACTAAACATTAAACTTCATTTGTGGAAAGTTATTTTATAAACAAACAGTGACTAAGCAGAAAGTCCCAGTCTCAGACTGATGTTACTTTGGCTGTGGGAAAACATGAGGCGTGCATGTGTACCTGGCACATAACCCCTCTCTTGCTTCAAGCGCTCAACCATCTGTGGGATGTGCTGCTGGTGTCCGGCCTTGGCCAGAGTGAGGATGATCTGCATGATGTCTCTGTCCATTAGATTGCAGTCTGCACTCTCTGCTTCCTCTATAGTCTGATGAAGTGAGATTGGGAGGCAGGGAAATAGAAAAGAGAGGAAGGAGGGAGGAGGAATAGGGAAAAAACAGGAGGAGTGAAGTAGAAAAGAAGAAGAAATGGGGATGAGCAGTAGCAAAATTGGAGAAGAAGTACAGAGAGGAGTAATTAAAATGGAAACTATTCCTTAGATAAGAACACACACAAAATGTTAAATCAGCACTGTCTTGAAAACACACACCTTTTTCAGTGTGTCCATGTCTCCCTTTTCAGCATAGGTGGTAAGCAGTGAGACATAGGTGTCAGGACCCGGTTCAATTCCCGCTCCCTGCATCACAGACAGGATGTTCTTCGCACTCTCCATATCACTGCAAGGCGATAAACATGACAGCTTGTTTAAAATCCAATTACTCCAGCACAACACTTATTATGTGCAATTAAATACAACAGATTAAAAGAAGAAAAGCTGTGACACTCACCCGGCACGAGCGTGGCCTGTCACCAGGGAGTTGAAAACAGCCTCAGTAATGGGTAAATCTTTGCTCTTCATGAAACCCAATATGGTGCTAAGGGAGGCAAAAGAGAAAATATTAAAATGGGAAAAACTGATAAATCCAAAAGGTATATCTATCAGTAAGTAGCAGTTGTCAGAGCTTCCCATCAGAACATGTACTCTGCTATTGGATGGTTGATCCGCAGAACAGGAAGTTTGCTCACCTGGCTCCCTCGATATCTCCATTTTGGCAGTAGGCTGCTATGAGTCTCTGGTAGGTAACCTGGGCAAAAACAAAATACCAAACAATAACCAAAGTGTGGATCAGACAGGTGAGGTGCATTAGCATAATAAAATACCTTTAGTGAAATAAAAAGGCATACAAAATAAAAATAAAAAACTATGACACTGGCCACAGAAAACAGCGTTTCTTGATATGATTCCACTGTTCGGTACTTACTCTGTTGGGCTGGATGTTAGCTGCTTCCATCTTGGCCAGGAAGTCAGTGGGTGAGAACTTGAAGTCATTCTGCAGGTAAACCTTTAGCAGGGCGTTGTAATGACTAACATCAAACTGGGCACCTGGGGAGGACATCGAGCCAATCTATCAACATCTACAACATACAGGGATTCCTCTACAAAGACATTAGGATTTAAATATGGCACAAAGCTGCTGGTAATTCTCATGAACCTCATGCATGTAACATAAGATCAGATACATGACAATGATTTCCTATCAGTCACTTTTAGCATAACTTGCCCCAACTCAGTCCCAGTCTACTGAGACACACCAAAGACTCCTCTGATAGTTGAATTATTTAAAACTGTGGTTAAACACTTTTAAGTTCAGCAGCGAACAACCAGACAGTACTTTAGATAATATGATGATTAAGTTGTTGCCATCGGTGTGGCCTCTTACCCAGCTCCTTCAGCTTCTCCCACATGCGGTGTGCCAGCACAGTGCGTTCCTCCTGAGGCACCTCAGGCAGCAGGTACCCACAGCTACGCAGCAGCAACAAGGCCTGGTTACCACTGGGATACCCTGCAAACACACAGGAACAGAAGGTGAGGATGGATGAAGAAGGAGAAAGACAGGATAACGAATCAGGATGACAAAATGTTTTTCAAATGAGAAGATGCATGAAGTTTGCTCAGTTCAATATACAGTATAATGTCAATGTACTGTCATATTACACTTAAGACTGGACGATGACTTCAAGGATTAAAATGGAATAATACAGTAACATTTTAGAGAGATTTCTTTGCTGTAAATATATCCTATCATCCACCATTTGCTGTTAATGGATGATACCACCTGAGTGTGAAGATGCAGCAAACTTTTCCTCACCAATAAATGTGGGACCACTGCCACTGGTCTCATGGCCATCGGCAACAACTTTGCGGGGGTATCGGTAGTTTGATTACATAGTTAATATGGTCAAACCTCTTCGTCTGACACCGATCTTTTCATCTGTCTCCCTGATTGTTGTTCTGCCTGCCTACCTGTCCTGCAGATGTCGTGGAAGATGTGGAGCAGTAGGGTCTTGGTGATGCGGCCGGTCCTCCTCACAGAGTTGTCCAGCTTGGTCAGAGCCCAGTCAAACTGCTGAGCCTGCTTGGATCGCACTGCAACGCCGGCCTCATCCTTCTTATCTGTGGCCACAGCATAACTACGCGCACACCCCACTGCATACGGCCACACACGACTGTAGACAATGAGAGAGCGATGTTAGGAGGAGAGGGGGACAGAAGTAGATGGAGGGAGTTATGGAGGAGAAAGGGAGACAAAAGCATGAAAGAGAGTATGATAATTCAGAACGGGGGAAGAAGGGAGGGAGCAGACAGGACAGAAAGAACAAGAAGCAGCAGTCACATATAAATACAGACATAAACATGGTACTTCTGTGGGTGCATGTGAGATACAAAACACTTTTCTGCAGCTGTCCTAAACTGTGTGAGGCACAGGATGTGTTGAGCGTTACACCACGCTAAAACTAATGCACACTAATACAACAGTCCTGCAACCTCCGCGATGGTTATAGTGTTCTGATTGTGTTACAACTGTTTTGGAGAGGCGCTGATTCAACTTAATGGCCATTTTAGAAGATGTAGTTTGTGGTTCTGTTGAACTGCATTGCATCATACGGAGACAGGTTTCTGTTATTTAACCAGAGTCACCCGTCCTCCTGATGCAATAAAGCTCAACAGCGATACAAATCACAGACCATAAAGTTGAATCATCACAAACTGAACATTATAAGCATCATGGAAGGAGGATTTCTTGCAGGCCTGCTGTAATAGACTGCATTCGTTTTAACAAGGTGTATCTGATAAAGTCCTTACTGAGTGTAGATAAACATATATAAGGCTGTGGATGCTTTACCATCCCAAGGATGCCTCATGTTTAGTCAAGAGCCTTGACCTTGAGATAAAAAAGCACCAGCATACCTGCTACCCACCATCTTTATCGTAACCTGAGGCCTGAAATCCTACAGTGCTACTTACTGATAAAATGCTAATCATTGTCTGAGACAAGAACATCTATTGTAGCTGTAGCAGACAGCCTGCAGGGCCAGTCTTAAATGATGGCCCTCTTGGAAGAGTTAGCACGCAATTAAAGCTAATACAAAACAGGGCCATACACGAGAAAGCTGGTAACAGCTACAGCAGCATCATTACAAACTCTCTTATTGAGTTTAAAAAAAAAACAAAACAATAACTTATAAACATGGCTGAAAGGAAGTTACACAACTCCTGATCATCACCTTATGTAAAACAGAGGCCATGTTTATTTCAACCTACAGCTACGTAATGTGACATTGTACGAAACTTAGTCTAACATAATGCCACATGTGTAAACACACTACATTTAATACTGCAGGTTATATTCATGTAAATACAAGTGTGGCTCTTGCTGTCATTGAGCCTCAATGACATCTCTGTCTCACGCGTGGATCGCAGCTACACCGGCTAACAGGCTGCATGATACCTGCTGGATGCAGCAGGGCTCGTCAGCCGGGAACAACCTCCGGTCCTTCGGCTACCGAGAGCTCCGCTGTACAGCCGGCTGAGCGGCGGTCCGGTTCTGTTGGTTCCTGCGATCTGAAGCAAGCCCGAAGGCGAGAATTTGAGTAACCGTGCTGATCTCAAGAGTGCTGCCATGTTTGCTGTCGAAGCGTGGAAGGGCATCCGCACCACGTGACAGGTCAAAGAAACAAAGTGCCGCGAGAACACCGACTGAACGCACGAGTTCTTGTTTTACACTATTGTGAGTTGGTCCTTTACTCACTTAGATCTTTTATTTTAGTGAAATTACCAATACCACAATATAAAGATAATCCATCACAAGTAAATTGTAATTGAAATTATAATTGTACATTTCTCACATAGTCCATTTTTTGGAATCTGTGAACTATTGCACATTCCCCCATTCATATTGCACATTGTACACATTTGTATTATTGCATTATATTCATATTTTTTCATTTTTATCTTGAATATTTGTAATATTCATATTTAAGCTATCTGACCTGCAGTACATGCAATGCTTTTCTTTCTTTAGATTCTTTCTTACTATGTTTATTATTATGCAAAACACCAAAGCAAATTCTTAAAAATTGTTTTTTAAGAATGACCTGTGTCAAATCTGGTGTTAGGATCTTTATTTTCATTTCTTTTCTTTATTTTTTTGTTCATGTTGCGCATAGAGTGTTTTTTATTCATCTCTATTTATTTCAATCAAATTGCTTAAATTTTTTTCTTTGCTGCAAGTAAAAGACAGAAAACCTTGGTCAAGGTCATATTATTTCATTTTCATTATAAACACTTCTTACAATTATTTTCTTCAATAATTGACTGACTGTTTGGTGTAAAAATGTCTGTAAATTTTAAAAACCCACATAACCAGATGAAAAAAGTCTCATTGTCCCAGGCATCATATTCAACGTACACCTCAGTCTACAATCAAACTTTATTTGTAAAGCATTTCCCAAGTGCAATTCAAAGTGCTAACAAGCGAATAATATGCTATTATAAATGTAAACAGTAAAACAAAGAGACTAATGCACACAAAAAAACTTTTTAAAAAATGATGAAAAAAAAAGATTTTAAAATAACAATTTAATTGTATGAAAAATGTAAATACCATCATAAAAAAATACACCACCTTTATTCGATTGTACATGTATGAATTTATGTCATTTACTATTCTTGCTTCTCATAATCTTACACTCAAGGTTTGTTTGTTTCTGCTTTTTTAGACTATAATTCCAATATGCGATGCAAGAGATCCTTAAAATAAAATGTCTTCCTTTATTTATTGTAAGTGACAATAATGTTAAACTTTATTTATATTGCTATGCTCAACCTGAGCAGTTTAACTGCTTATTAAGAACAGACCAGAAATTACCTTTTGGTGGCTGAATTTCACAAGGAGAAGATAATTTAGGTTTTAATATAATTTTATTACAATATTAACAAACAGCAATACGTTCAAGAAAGTCTTCATGAGCTCAGTTCTTCGATCAACTTTCTATTCCCTCTCCTCTTCCCTTTCTTCAAGCTCTCCTCAACTACAGTCTTTGCCTTGTCCATGCTGTTCCTTACACTCTCTCTTTTACTGTGTTCATTCCATAACTCCAGAGCTAGTCTATGAATCTGGGGTGCATTGTCTAACACCCAAGCCTGAAAGAATTCACACTTCTTGCTTGCCAGGAAGTACTTCTGCCTCTGTGCCCGTTCCTCTCCCTCTTTAGATAGGGCTGTTCTGGCCTGGGAGAGAATCGAGCGAAGCTGACTCAAGGCTGCCAGGCAGTATCCTGTAGCATCTTTTCCGTCTCTGCCGGTCATGATGTGAGCTACAGCTTCCAGCGCCCTGGCTGGAGAGAGAGGATCCTCCTTGTTGAGGTACCCTCCACCCAAAATGAGAGTTTCTCCACAGTCTAAGGCCTCTTGGACGGAGCTGAACACCTTGCTGGAGTTCAGTGCCTCCGACAGAGCAAGAATCATGTCACAAAACTCAAACATCAGCGAATCAGTGTCACCGTTAAACAGGCACAGAGTGAAGGCGTAGGCAAAAAGTGTGTTGACCAAACCATAGCATATCAGGGGAGATGGGTTTGCACATAAAGAACTCAACTTTGGAATTTTTGCAGAAATAGGAGGCACAGTGGAAACTGTTGAACTTCCTTTGCTTGTTTCCTTTGTGTTTTTTCCTTTAATATTTCTCAACTTTTTGTCCTGTTTGTCAACCACTTCTTGTGACATCTTAACTTTATTATCAACTTCATGTGCATCCACAGTTGTTAAATTTTCTCTCTCCAATTTGCTCACTTCCTCCACCAGTGCTCTCCCTCCCTTGTCATGCTCCTCCCACCATGGCTTCCACATTGGGACCAGCCCGCCAAGAGCTCCACCCTTCATCAGACTCATAAACGTCTCTTTCTCTTTGCTGTTGAGAATTTCCCACAGCTCCTCTTCTGAAAGTTTGTCAACATCCAGCCCTGAGAGTTGATCGGCCAAGTCCAGCTCCCCTTCTGCACTTTCAGCATCCTCATCGACATCTCCAGACAGCGGCTCCACTTCTCCAATCTCTTCCAGTTTTCTCAAAATAGCCCCAATCTCTGTTGTGCTCCCTTCTCCAGACTGTTGGAGCTCTGCTAACCTGGACAAGAGCTCCACAACCTGCACTTTCTCTGTTGCCTCATCTTCCCCTTCGCCTGCATCATCCGACAAAATACCCACTTCTTTTAACAAACTTTCCATTCCCCCATCTGTTCTTTCTGCCTTTTGTCTGAGTCCCACAAGAATCTCCTGCATTTTCTTTCTCCCTTCGCTTTCCGTTTTCCCCATATCCTTCAGCTCCTCTAGAACAGACTCCTTGTAAAACTCCTCAGAGCACACCGAGTGATCTGGGCTCTGGTAGCAAGCCAAGCCACAGTAATGCAGGTTACACCGAGGGCAGGTGTAGCAAGCGGGTTTACATTTACACAACATGCAGACCGCATTCCTCCTGGCGTTGCCCCCATCCTCTGTAGCCTCATCCTCTTGTGCCTTGGCTGGTGAGAGAAACTCCTCTTGTCCAGAAGCAACTCCTCTGGACGGGAGCAGAATCCCATCTCTGGTCACTGTGTCAGGCTCTGCATCAGTCCACTCCTCCTTTGGACCGATGTCTGTCAGAAGACTCCTCACGGACGGAGGAAGTCTCCGTCTAATTAATGGATTCATTATTGGGCTGAGGAACGATGTTGTAGCAAAGCAAGAAAAAGGTCCAAAACAGGTAACCTAAGAACTGAAAAAATAATAAAAATGTTAGCAGGATGTATTTTAATTCTGTTTCTGTCACAAAGTAAACGTGACAGCTTCAGGTGACACTGACGTCAGCTTCCGATTCAGATTCAGATTAAAAGACTCAAAAGATTCAAAGTTTTATTTTATTTGTGAGGTGCTAACGTTAGCACAACGCAGTGTGTATTTCAAGTAGCGTTACACCAGTAAACCTATTTAAAATACATTAAGGTCGCCAAGAAGGTTTAGCTAGCAACGTTCAAGGTCGATATAACAATCTTTCTTAAATGTTACTGTAATAGCTTAAAAGACAAATTGAGCTTACTTCATTTGTAGCAGCAGCAACGTTTCACGTTTGTTGTCCCTATCAAGCCGTTATGTCGCGTTTTGATTACGTATAGTTGACGTCTTCTTCTTTTCTTCTTCTTTGAGGTTTTGCGGCAGTTGGAATCCACATTGTTGCATTTCTGCCCCCTTCAGTTTTAGTCTCTTTGTCCATTCAGTTTGAGTCCAATTTCCTCCCTTTTCCTCCTATTCTATTGTACTTTTAACGTTGTCTTCAATCCGCCATATTTTGTTTCTTAATTTCTTGTCTTTCATGTGTAAAATTCCTGCATGATATAATATGCCCAACTGTGTCAGCCTCATGGTATTGATAGCGACCTTTTATTGCATTATCCCAGTTCGGTTGCCACAGCTGATTTACCTTTGACCACATTGTGCCTTGATTTTGATCATTTAATATTGATTTATCTTCAACAATTCCTTTTCTGACTGCTTCTTTGGACACTCTATCTGCTCTCTCGTTTCCGAGGATACCTGAATGTATCCCTGGAAGTAGCCATTAGAAGATGGTAAATTGTGACACATGGTGAGCAACAATAGGCTGAACATTAACTGAAGCTCATGCTTTGCACTGCTGCCATGGGATTGGTTGATTGGATAATTATAGGAAAACAATATTTGTTATCAAATTGAAAAAAACATTTTTAAATATTGTCTATCCTTCCACTAATTTTTTGCTTAAAAGATTTCATTGGCACATGGAAAATGTGTCTGGAACATTTTATAATATTCAGTGGCAATAAAACATGGCTTCCTCAAGGCAAATTTATATTCCCAACAAATTCAGAGAAGTATTATACAGGTTTGAGCATAATACATATCACAAACTCTTACATCCAGAGATTTGTAGATTTGTCAAAAATTTTATGTACAATCCACATAAAGGAGAAACCAAGTGAAAAGAAGACAATATTACAAAATCTGATCAGAACAAACTTCTTTCCCCTTTACCATACAGGCTCATCATTCTTGTCCAGTCCTACAACTTGAAATACTTATTATGTCTGCCTTTCTTATTTCATCTATTAATTTATCTAGAAACCTGAATCTGGTATAATAAACAGAAAATGTTGTTGCTGTGAACTGCTGACCAACTGAATGAACAAATCTATCATATTTGTGCCACAAAGCCCTGCCAGTGGTACTGCCCACACAGTTGAATGGTTTGTTTACTCCAAATAAAGATGGTCGATTCCAAACCTCAGCTTATCCGTAAACTTCCCTGGCAACTAAATGACTGAACAAACTGTTGTTCTGATGAAAAGTTGTCATGTTATTGAAGCTAGAGTCCCCTTGTTTTTGGAAAGAAGCCAGCTAGATTTGAATGACTCATCACAAACACTAACTAACTGTCCCTCCATCTAACTTTCTGTCAGTCTGTGTGTGCATTATGCTTGTCAGTCTATTTGTGTGTCTTTCTGACGGTGCTGTGTGTCTACATCTCCCATGGGGCTGTTTGCTATGAGGTGATTGTCTCCTGCAGGGGGTCAAGCATGGTAAAGGTCATGCAGGTGGGGAGTTGTCAGATGGCTGTCCACCCCTCACTGGGCCGAGGGGTTCACGTGCCGCCTGTCAAAGCCCGTGGGGAAAGGGGGAGGAGGAGGGGGGTCTGAGGTTGGCGTGTGCCATGCTGTCTTGGCCCCGCCCCTGGCTGCCATGCCAGCAGTCCTGCGTAGGTTGCTGCCTCCTCGTGTCTCCTTTACCCTTCCCTGGCATGTCCTGTGACATGTTAGTACCCCCAACACTGAATCCACAACCTTACTGTCTGTTGGAGTGATGATATGTAGTAATGCAGAATCTCATCCAGGTTCATGAAGGCTTACAAAAGCTTTTTGTCCCCTTTACATCAGTCTGGTCGCAGGTTTGGCATTTGGCACAGACACACGTGCACGCACGCACGCGCACGCACGCACACATACACACACACACACACACACACACACACACACACACACACACACACACACACACACACACACACACACACACAAATCCTGCTGTCTGCCACCAGCTGATAGGTGACAGAGAACAGGCTCTGCCTTTTGGGCATGTCCAGCCCTGACATGTCTAGTGCTGTCTACTGTACAGCAGCAGGGTGTGTGTGTGTGTGTGTGTGTGTGTGTGTGTGTGTGTGTGTGTGTGTGAGTGTATGAGTCTGTGAGTTTGTGTGTCCATAGTAAAAGAGAGTAGACCTATGTTGATTTAGACTGTTCTGTCACCTGTCAGCTCAGAAGAATCTGGCATTATAGGGCACCCAAAAGGGAGACTGTATTTGTTGGGGGAGGGGAGGGGAGGGTCCTGTCCGTGTCTATTGCCCAGTTTCTATTTGTGCAGCCAGAAGCAAGTGTTTCAGTTTGACTGACTGACTTTTACACGATTCAAACCAAATTTGAAGTTTTTCTTTCGACATCCTGAACAATACGAGGAAATTAATATTGACCTTGTGAAGATATCTCAAGACAAAATGACTAAAATCCCACTTAATATACACAATACGATGAAATAAGACGTATGTGTATACAACTTTATTTAAACAACAAAAATGCTCCTGACTGATTAAAAATCTTTATAGGAATCTTGAGAGGAGCATCCTGGCTGGTTCTGCATCAGCACATAGCACATAATAACACAGCGGTAATATTACATATGACACACTTATAATGAAATAGATCAAAAATGAAGAGAGTAATCACAGATCAATATGAGTAGAATGATAAAATATCAGCAGTCAATTACAAAAACAGAAACACAATTAATTAAAATTCATATAAAATAAATACATAAAATAGACAAATAAAATAACAATACTGACCATCACAAGATATACTAGCATTTAAATGATATGGAGTAAGCCCGGGGTTTTTTGGGCCCCCGGGGATCTGGGGGCTATGAGCATTTCCTCACTTTGTCAGCTAGCTCAGAGAGCCAAGTCAGAGACAACATTTTTTGAAGCATGCAAGGAGATCAAGTGTAAGGTTCCTGAAGTACAGCAGTTTCCAGCTAGACTTGGAGTAAGTATTACAGTATTAATATTAAGCTAAGATGCTAAGAATACTCATGAATGTGGTTCAAGAATCAATGTCTGTGAGTGAATCAGTGAGTGCAAGTGACTGTGGTCTGGTGGAAGGTGTATTTCAGCAAACTCTCAACTGAAACCTGACATAGCAACAACATCCTCTTTCTCTCTCACCCTCTCATTCGGCTTTCATCGTCCATTTACCTTTTTTTATGAATGAACCCAGGAATGTAAGCTCAGCTCCCCCAGCATGAAAGCATCAATGTACTCCTTCAATAATTCACCTCCAGGATCCATTATTTACCTATTATTTTCACCTCTTCACAGGAAGGCTTCGCTGTGCCTTCATAGACCTCTCATCCTCCTCCTCCTCCTCCTCCTCCTCTTCCTCCTCTCCCTTCCTTCCTTTAATTGACAACCTTTGCCAGGTCACTCAATCCATATAAACAAATCCCTGTTTCCTGTGCTGCTTCTTGATCTGCTTCGACCAGCAGACTCTCCCTCTGAGTGTGTATATGTGTGTGTGCTGGGTGCAGTGCAGCGTGTGATGTGCTAAAACACAGGTAGATGGAGCAGTACCCTCTCAGTGACCTAAAGCAGCTATTGACAGCAGTGACAGTAGAAACAAGCAGGAAGAAGGAAAAAGAAACCTCACAGCACTCTAGAAGTCAACTCTCTCTCTGTTTTTGTCTCTCCGGACCTCGGTAGGAAATAGAGGGTCCAATGTATCTCTGTTGCTTACACCAGTAATTTCAAGTACTATTATTTTTCTACCTCAGTGATTTCATGTACTGTTATTTTGCAGCTCCAGACTTTAGACTTTTTCTAATGATTAATGGTTATCTCACTTTTCTCTCGTTCTCTGTCTTTCTCACTGTCAGGGTGACTTTAGTCTCCCTGTGAATTTGTGTCTCAATAACAATTTATCTTTTGGATTGGTCTCGTTTATTTCTATGGTTTTAGACAGTTCTTGGGGTGTATGATGAAATCTTATTCATAACTTATTTATTCATGAATTTATAATCACAGTTCTGATTTGGAGCATATTTTTACTTGTCTGTAATTATAACCAACTTGGTCAGGACACTCTTCAGGAAGAATCTTTTTTCCTTTTTTTTTTTTAAATCTCAATGGGACTCTTCTGGCTGAATAAATAATTTATAAATAAATACAACATCAAAAAAGTCACATATTACATACAGTATATACATTTGCACCTTCACAAACAGAATAAAACAGATAGCAAAAGTAAACTCTAAAAAAAAAGAAAAAGGACATTATAAAGAACATGAATTGTTCAAAAATAAATATTGAATAAAATATGGGAAAATAAGAAACAAGCAATCAGCATATGATATAATATGATATAATAATAGAGCAAGATGTGCAAGATGTCTGTCTGTTCAGTGAAGTCACAGATGTGACAAGAAAAGTTGTGGAGCAATGACATTCAAACTTCTTAACAAGCAGTGGTTGGTCATTAAAATTATTTTAAATTTCTGAGAAGAGCCCAAATTTTCTGAAGATACCAAATACATCAGGTCGAATTTGGGGATTTTTTTATACAGTAAATATGACCCCTGAAAGATTTGAGACATACACTATGGCTGCAATGAAGACTTAGAACAAGCTTATGCAGTATAGGAAACAATTTAAATTAACACCATTAATATCTTTAAAAATTGAGTTTTTCAGTTTTTGTTTATACCAAGCCAGACCTATCTCTGTCTTCTCATAACTTGAGAAAAAGCCTCAGTGAGACTTCCATGTTCTTTCCCTCTACTCTCCTTTCTCTCTCTCCTTCTACATCACACCATTCCCGCAGGAGCAAACCTGAGACTGAGTGTGTATCGGTGCATCACCCGCCTCCATCTGTCTAACCTCCGGCTCCACCTCCCTCCATCCCCAAGAGAGGGAACAGCGGATCAAGAAAAGGGGAGGAATGGAGGAAGGAGCGAGGGAGCGAAAGAGAGAAGTGTGTCTGTGTCCCAAAGGATTGGTTTCTGTCTGTCTAAATCA